AGCCATACTGGCTGGGCAAGATAAGTGTAAAAAGTTACTTAGATCATACAAACTCTGATCATACTAAAATTAAGTTAAAAATCATTAACAGAAAGATTTCAGGAAAATCTTCTAATATTGAAACAAAGTAGCACATTGATAAATAACTCATAGATCAAAGAAGAATTCAAGAGGAAATGAGAAAATACTTTTAACTTACTAAGAAATGAAAAAAACAGCATGTCAAAATTTGTGTGATGCCTTAAAGCAGCACTTAGAGAAAATTTTATAGCATTAAGTGTCTATATTAGAAATAAGAGGTGATGGGGGGCAGGGAGATGGGTGGAGGTGTGAAAAGGTATAGAGAGGATAAATGGTGATGGGAAAAAAATAAAATTAAGGAAAAGATCTTTTTTTTTTTTTTTTTTTTTAATCCTCATCCGAGGACATTTTTCCATTTTTTGTACAGACAGAGTAGGAGGGAGAGAGAGGGAAACATCGATGTGAAAGGGACACATCGAGTGGCTGCCACCCGCACGACCAACCAGGGCCGGGGACAAACTGCAACCGAGGTACGTGCCCTTAGCGGGAACCGAACCCGGGTCTTTCCGGACCGCAGGTGGACGCTCTAACCGCTGAGCCAAACAGGCCAGGGCAGGAAAAGATCTTAAATCAATGACCTTAACTTCTACCTTAAGAAAATGTAAGAAGAAGATCAAATTTAACTCAAAGTAAATAGAAGAAAGAAAATAATAAAGATCAGAGCAGAAATCAATGGAGACATAAGACAGAAAAAGATTAGATCAAAAACGGTTTCATTAAAACCTTATAAACCTCTAGTCATGGTGATGAAAGAAAACAAATGAATATCAGGAATGAGAGTAGTGACTTCACTACACATTCTATAGATATTAAAAAGATGACAAGAGAATATTATGAACAGCTCTATGGCAATAAACTCAACACTTAGACAAAATGGATGACACAAACTATTAAAGCTTACCAAGGAAAAATAGATAACCTCAATAATCCCATATCTGTTTTTTTTAAAATTGAATTTGTAGTTAAGAACTTCCCACAAAGAAATTCCAGGTCCAAATGGCTTCAGTGCTGAATCCTACCAAACATTTAAGGAAGAAATAAATACTAATTATACATAAACTTTTACAAAAATTGGGGGGGGGGGATACTCCTTTCTATGAAGTAAGCATTACTGTGACACCAAAACCTAATGAAGACGTTACAAGAAAAGAAAACTACAGACAAATATCCCCTATGAACATAGATGCAACATTTTAAAACAAAATTTAGCAAATCTAATCAAATAATGTATAAAAAAAAGAATTATACATCCTAACCAAGTAGAGTCTATTCCAGCATTATCATGGGGTTTAAAATGTGAAAATCTATCAAAGTAATTTACCAGATTAATAACCTAAATAATAAAGAGCATATGGTCATCTCAATACATGCAGTAAAAACATGCGACAATATGCAACATTTATTCCTAATTTTTAAAATTCTTTAGCTAACTAGGGATACAAAGGAACTTCCTCAGCCTGATATAGGACATCTGTGAAAAACCTACAGCCAACACCACACTTAACAGAGAAGACTGAGTGCTTTCCCTCTAAAATCAGTAACAAGACAACAATGTTCCTTCTCACTACTTCTATTCAACATTGCACTAGAGGTGCAGGCCAGTTCAATGAGGCAAGAACAGGAAGAAGTAAAACTGTCTTTATTTGCAGACATGATTGACTATGCAGAAACTGAAGGAATCTACAAAAATATTACTTGACCTAATACATGAGTTTAGCAGTGTTGCAGTACACAAGATCAATATACGAAAAACAATGTATTTCTATATACTATCAATAAACAATTGGAATCAAAATTTAACAAATAATACCATTTACAATAGTATAAAAAATAAAATACTTAGAAGTAAATCTGAGAAAGATTTGAAAGACTTGTACATCAAAAACTACAAAGCATTGCTGAGAGAAATTAAAACTACAAAGCATTGCTGAGAGAAATTAAAGACTTAAATGAATGGAGAGAAATGCTACTGTCATGGCATAGAAGACACAATATTGCTAAGACATCAATTATCCCCAAATTGATCTATAGATTCAATGTAATCCCAATCAAAATTTTAGCAGGCTTTTTCTTTTTTTTTTTTTTTTTTAATCCTCATCCGAGGACATTTTTCCATTTTTTGTACAGACAGAGTAGGAGGGAGAGAGAGGAAGAGAGAGAGAGGGAAACATCGATGTGAAAGGGACACATCGAGTGGCTGCCACCCGCACGACCAACCAGGGCTGGGGACAAACTGCAACCGAGGTACGTGCCCTTAGCGGGAACCGAACCCGGGTCTTTCCAGACCGCAGGTGGACGCTCTAACTGCTGAGCCAAACAGGCCAGGGCTTAGCAGGCTTTTTCTTTAACAAAAGTTTTAAGCTGATTATTCAGTTCATATGGACATGCAAAGAACCTAGATTAGCCAAAACAATTTTGAAAAAGAACAAAGATGGAGGAATATGATTTAAAGACTTACTATACTGTCCATCTGGTGTGGCTCAGTGGTTGAGCATCGACCCATGCACCAAGAGGTCACTGGTTCAATTCCTGGTCCGGACACATGCCCAGGTTGTGGGCTGGATCCCCGGGGGGGCATGCAGGAGGCAGCCAATCAGTGTTCTCTCTCATCAATGTTTCTATCTCTCTCTCCCTGTCACTTCTTATCTCTCTAAAAATTAATAAAGGGGAAAAATTTTTTTTAAAAAAGACTATAAAATTACCATAGTCAAGATAGGGTCGCATTGGCATAAAGATAGACAAATAGATTGATGGAATAAAATAGAGTCCAGAAATAGGTATGTGTATGTACATAAAGTCAATTTAGTAGAGAAAGGATAATCTTTTCAAGAATTAATGTTGGAACAACCAGATATCCAGGAGCAAAAAAGTAAACTTTGATCTACATCTCTCACCATATATAAAAAATAACTCAAAAAGGATTACATATCTAAGTTTAAAACTTAAAACTATGACTTCTGGAGGAAACATAGGAGAAAACCTTCATACCCTTGGGTTAGGCAAAGATTTCCTAAATATGATAACCAAAAGTGTGATCCATAAAAGAACAAATTGATAAACTGGACTTGATTGAAATTAAAACTCTCTGCTCTTCAAAAGATATTGCTAAGTGAATGAAGAGACAAGGCACAAAATAGAAAAATATTTACAAATCATATATCTGATAAAGGACTTATATTCAGAAAATAAAAAAAAATCGCCAGTGGTGTAGGAGCTGGGTGGAGGTGGCCAAGGGGGAGGGTTGGGAATGGGGGACATCTGTAATACTGTCAACAATAAAATATATATATTTATTTATTTAAAACAACAACAACAACAACACTCTCTAAACTCAAGAATAAGAAACAATCTAATTGTTTTAAATGGGCAAAAGGTTTAAACACTTTACTAAAAAATATAAGGACACTAAAACATGAAAAGATGCTCAAGATCATTTGTTATTAGAGAAATGCTAGTTGAAGCCACAATGAAATACTACCATACACCTATTAGAATATCTAAAATAAAAAACTTGTTGTGCATACTAAGTGCTGGCAAGGATATGGGGAAACTGGAATTCTCATATACCGCCACTGGGAATATAAAAATGGTACAGCTGCTCTAGAGAAAAATGTCCAGTTTCGAGGTAAATGAAATTGTAAGTCCATAAAAAGTCTTGTGCACAAATGTTTATAGTGTTTATATTCATACTTGCCCCAAACTGCAAACCAATAGATGTCCTTCAATGGGCAAATAGAAAAACAAACTGTGCTACATTCATGAACTATTAATACACATAATGACACGGATGAACTTTAAAAGCATTAGGCTGAGTGAAAGAAGCCAGACAAAAAAGAGAGCAATACTCTAAGAATCCACTTACGTAAAATTCTAGAAAATGCAAACTAACATAATGACAGCAAATCAAGTCCCTTGTGGTGGGGGTGGGGAGTACAGACGGGGCAGGCAGCGATTATGAGGGAACTTTTGGAGGTGATACCTATGTTCATGAACTCAATTGTGGTGATGGTTTCACTGGGATATACTTATGTCAAATTATGTCAATTATGCTCCAAGAAAGCTATTAAATAAACACAACATAAAGTCTAATGTTTTAAGTACATGTTTGTTCAATTTATGTTCTATCCTGGCTTAAGCTGCTTCTGACAGTTTTTGAACCTAAGTACAAAGTGAAGTTTGTTGACCGTGATCATGTGTAATCTTGCACTGTCTTATACGGTTGGCTAATTGATTTCTAAACAGTGATTTAGTTTCTCCCATTAACTTGCAAAATCCTCAAGGTTAGGCCTCATATCTTATATTTTTTTGCATCCTCCTAGTGTCCAGACACAGTAAGAAACACAGAAAAGTTTAACAAACACTTTTTGATTGTCTTTTGTATTATTTGACAAATTTGGAAAAGGGGGGACTCAGAAAAGAAAAAATATTTTTTTCTACTTTTATTCTTGTACTTATCTGGACTATAGCATAGAGGACATAGGGAGAACAACCATAGCACAAAGCCTCCCCAAGGCACCAACAGTATCCTTTGTGCTTCAATAATCTGAGGTATACATACAGATTTGCCTCTCCCAGGGTTAAATCAGAAAGCTGTGGGTTGAAGGTGAATGAAGACACACCAGGATGAACAGACTGCAATTCAGCTTCATTTCATTCCTCTCCCCTCTTCATTTTGCCCAATAAGGTGGTACTGACCAGAAAAAGAAGGAGCCACTCAAGGAGTGCTTGATAAATAATGACCTTTAATTAAACATCCTCAATGAGCAGAATGTTCCAGTGTGACCCTAATCACATTTCTCTCCACATTCCCCAGAAAGGGTGGGAGTAGGGTCTCTACTTGCTGAACAGATCAGCAAAAGGGAAGAGATGAAAAGAGAGCTACCATGAGCACGAGGCCTGCCTTTCAAAAGAGAAAAGGGCTAAGGTTCTTTTTTGTAGTGGCGGGTCAAGCTCGTGATCTTTGATTTCTTCCGTGGGAACTCTCTGCTGCCTGCAGAAATACGTCGGCTGTGGGAAATGATATTGCTCTGGCTTTTACTTTTGTAGATTATATGGGCATAAGTCATGACAAAGAAGATCCAGAAACAGTGCATGAGTATACGGGCCACCAAGCCAAACCAGTGTACGATCCTGACCTCTATGGCGTTCCTGTTATTGTCGGTGAAGATTTGTAGTGTAATGTTTACAGTTTCATAGAAAATGATCCAGATGATATAGATGATCAAGCCTCTGAACTTCTGGGCATATACTGAGTATAAGAGCAAGCAGCTGACAACGATGGTGATGCAAGACAGGAAGAGGACAATATCCCAACTCCAACAGATGAAGAACTGCTTTATCAGGATATTCATATTGTTGTGATTATGGTTAACTTCAGTGCAATTCCTGCTCTTCATGTACTTCTGTTCGAAGGTGAGGTACATGTGCATGGCTATGATGCTAAAGATCCCTGATAACACGGTGCCTGTTTTGGCAGTCATCCCACACCAGTGTTTCGGTTTCATGCTGAGAGCTCCTGTGAAGACAAACAATATAAGGGGGAATTCTGGTTCTTGCCAATGTGGTAAATTAGCAGGGCTTCTGCCTCCTTTCCCAAAGGAGAAACAACAGAGAGAAATATGGAAACCAGGAAATAACAACTTTGGGAAGACAGGAGATGATTTAAGATTGATTGGGAGTGTGAGTGGGAAGGAGAGAGGACACAGCCTGGTGGCAGTGACCAGATACATTAGAGAAGTGCTTCTCAGCCCTGGCTTCACATTGGAATCACCAGAAGCACCCATGACCAGGCTTCACCCCAGACTAATTAGGACATTCTTTGGTGAGACCCAAAATCAGCATTTTTCAAAACTTCCTAGTGATTTTCATATGAAGTCAGGATTGGAAAACAGAGCCAAAAAAGGTAGTTTAAATTATGTTCCTATCTCTCCTAGCATTGCCTTGGGCAACCATTGCTGCCCGCGATGGGAGAATTGGCGGCAGGTGTCCAGACCTCAGGAGCAGTCAGGGCAGCACAGAGGCCTGCTGGGGTGAGGCGCTGGGGAAAACAAGGGCGAGCAATCACTCCACCACGTGTCAAAATGTAAGGACTCCAATACAGTGAAAGGTGAACTTAAAGGGAAATTCAGAGCCTTGGGATAAAATAGCCTTATACTAGAAAAGAAAAAAAAACCTATAATTAGCTAGTGTCCAACTCAAGAAGTTAGGGAAAATACCAACAATATGAACAACAAAAAATAGGAAGAAGAAAATAAATAGAACAGAAAGCAATGAAAAAGTAGAGGGGGTTCTGATTGGTTAGGTTACTGGAGCAAATTTACTGCTAAAAACAACTAAAAATGTTGGATAAAAGACATTTAAAATATTATTAGAAGCAAAGACTTGCTGACAGTGTGGAGGTCAAAGTCGATAGGAGTTTAAGAACTGGGACCGGCAAGCAAGCATGGAAGCTAATTTTGCTCTGAGCATATGGGCCAGTCTGGCCAACCTTTAATTTCATTTATGAGAGAGCTCTGTAGAATAAGAAAAAATGAAATAAAAGCTCAGGGTCCACCAAGAAGGGGAGTCTATTAGAAGGCCTGTCTTTTTAGTCATGGCTCCCCACAGGGTTATGCGTAAAGATGAATCAGAAGGAAACCTGCCCCAAGAGCTTTCTTCCAAGAGACTGCAAGGAAAGTTAACTTAGTACACTGAATGTATTGGGGGGAAACTCTCCTTAAGACATTGTAACCAGCCCTGGCCGGTTTGGCTCAGCGGTTAAGAGCGTCCGCCTGCGGTCCGGAGACACCCGGGTTCGGTTCCCGCTAAGGGCATGTACCTCGGTTGCAGTTTGTCCCTGGCCCTGGTTGGTCGTGCGGGTGGCAGCCACTCGATGTGTCCCTTTCACATCAATGTTTCCCTCTCTCTCTCTTCCTCTCTCTCCCTCCCACACTGTCTGTACAAAAAAAAAAAAAAAGACATTGTAACCATAGCTAACCTTTTTGCAGATCTGTAGCCCAAATTACATGAAGCATTAAAAAAAAAGTTTTAAGTCATAAATCTAGTTTGAAGTGTAGTCCTAAACTGCAAGCGTCTCTAAGTGCCTGGTAGAAGCAAACTCAAATCCCTTCTGGAAGAATGCACCTTTGTGTTGGTCCTCAAAGAATCTCCATCAGTAATTTTTCAGAGACAATGACTAGTATACAGTAAAAAATAACCCAAAACACAAGGAACGAAGTGCTCTGAGAACCAGAAGAAATGACAGATTTAACCGTAAGAATACCAGATTATGAAACAATTGTGATTACTACATTTTTTTGCATTATTTAAAATTTTTATTTTATTTTTACTTGTGGTAAAATACACATAACATAAAATTTACCATCGTAACCATTTTTAATCATACAGTTTAACAATGTTAATTATATTCATATTGTTGTGCAGCCAATCTCTGGAATTTTTTTTTCTTGCAAAACTGAAATTCTGTACTCATTAAACAACAATTCCCTATTTTCCCTTTCCCCAGCTTCTGGCAACCACCATTCTACTTTAAAAAAAATTAAGAGATATATCCAGAGTAGTAAAATGAAATAATATAGTATTTGTCTTTTTGTCACTGCCCTATTTCACTTAGCATAATGTCCTCAGGTTCATCTATATTGTAGCATGTGTCAGAATTTCTTTTCATTGCAACCTTTAAACAAAAGACAATACTGAAAATATACGTAGGAACAGGAAACTATAGGAAATAACCTAGCATATTTGAAAGAGAACCAAATAGAATTTCTAGAGATAGAAAACTCAACATCTGAAATTAAAAATTCAGTAGGCATAGTATTTGGTAGATTGGACACAGATGAAGTGATAATTATTAACCAAATGATAAGTCAGGAGAAATCATCCAGAATGTAGCACAGAGAAACAAAATGATGAAAACTATCAATGAGAAAATTAAGAGACATAAAGGATATAAGATGCTCTGACTCATTGCCCTGGCTAGTTAGCTCAGATGGTTAGAGTGTTGTCCCAGTATACCAAGATTGCAGGTTTGATCCCTGGTCAGGGCACATACCAGAAACAATCAACGAATGCACAAATAAGTGGAGCAACAAAGCGATGTTTCTCTCTCCCTCTCTCAAATCAATCAGTAAATTAAACACACACAAAGATGTTCTGACTCAGAGAGAGAGAGAGAAGAGGAGGTAGGTAAGAGAATAGGGTAGCATACTTAAAAAGAGCTGAGGATTTGTACAACTGAAGAAAAACACCAACCCACAGATTCAAGAACCCTAACTGATTGCTAGTAAGATAAATAAAAATCTACACCTAGATTTATGGGACTCATTCTGTTGAAACAGATAACAGATGTCCCCTTTCTATTCTTTAAAATTTTTCATAAAATTTTGGGGTTCCCATTAATTTATCTATGGCAAAGACTATTAATTGTCTCTCAATATCCATTTCCCTCTTCTTACTTTTTGTGGTAGCTAGACACATGGCCACTGGGCTAATAATGACTACATTTCCCAGTCTCCCTTGCAGCTTTTATGTGGCCATGTGACCAATGAGATATGAGTGGAAGTGATGTGTGCCATTTTACAGTCTTATTCATGAAAGGATGAGGGGTGCTCTCACTGTCCTCCTTTTCCTCCTTCCTGATTCTCTTGGTCATTATCAAAACTGATCTTTGACCCAGAGTTGGAAGCCCTTGTTGAATATAGTAAACACCCTATCAGTCATGGATCATTGTTACTTGATAGAGAAATAAACTCCTATCATAAACCACTGTCTTTTGGGGTTTCTCTGTTGTAATAACTTAGCCTGTACCATAATATATCTAAACTTCACTTCACCCAATGAGGACTAGCAAGCCACTGAGATCTAGCACCTCCCTTGACTTTGCCCTTTTGAAGAAACTAGCAGGTTCTCCCTGTCCATATGTTTATCTCACTGAGTTTATGGTTCTACTTGCCATCTCCTTATAAGAGATGTCTCCCTTCAATCTCAGGATCACTATTGTCTTTGCAATTAAATTAATAATAAGTTATGTATTGTCTTGCCACATCTTTTATATTGTTTTAAATTGCTATTTAAACCCTGGTTGGTTGCTCAGTGGTTAGTGCATCAGCCTGCGGACCAAATGGGTCTCAGGTTTGATTCCCTGTCAAGGGCATGTACCTATTTGCAGGTTTGATCCCCAACCCCAGTTGGGGTCATGTGGGAGGCAACCAATCGATGTGTCTTTCTCACATGTTTCTCTTTCTCTTCCTCCCTCCCTCCTTTCCACTCTATCTACAAAATCAATGGAAAAATATCCTTGGGTGAGGATTAACAGCAAAAAATTATTATTTAATTATTTTATACTTATAACAATCATCCTAATGGCTACTAATGGGGACTAGAGTTAGAGAAGATAATTAATTTGCCTAAGGCTGTAATCTGGTTAGTGGCAAAATCAGGATTTTAACCCACCATCTGTCTGGCTCCAAAACCAATCTCAACACTCAACCCACTGTGCCTTGTCTGCCCCAGAGATCTGTGAGTTCAGTGGGTCCAGCTCCTCTATCTATCCCACAGTTTCTAACTAAGGGCCTCGACTAGAGTAGGTCCTTGATTAGAGGAGGCTCTTGATAAAAACTGGCAATTCTTCCCCCACCATGTCTCATCTAAGTCATCTGTTCTCAGTAACTCTGAGATCCATAACGTTCTTCTCTCCTTTTTCTTCCTCTCTCCCCTGGCTTTTCTCTTTTCTTCCCTTCCCTAGGCAACGCCACTCATTCCCATGGTTCAGTCGCCCTCTATGCTGATGACTCCCAAAGCCAGACTTCTAGCCTTCTATTTAGAAATTCAAACCTGCATATTCAACAATTCTGCCTCCATTTGTGAAGTCTTTGGACTGCTCAAACTCAACACGTCCCAAACGAAGCTTAAGATTTCTCCCATCCCCACACCAATCTGCTGCTATTCCAGGGTTTATTACAGTGATATCGGTATCCATCTACTCATTTCTCCTCGTACCTCCCTCTCTCTCATCCCCTACATCCAAAAATACTCACTAGTTTCATCTACTCTTCTCCCATATATATCTTGAATCAGTCATTGTTTTTCCCATCTCCACTGCCACCACCATAATTAAATCACCATCATGTCTTTTCTGGGCTACTGCAATTTACACTTCTTGTAAAGTTGTAGTCTTCATACAGCCACGAATGATAATACAGCCATGTTGGGAGTTTGGGAGAAAAGGCAGTGGGTATGTGTATAGAGGGTAAAAAGTCCTCATCCATCATGATGAGAAGTCAATAGGTAATATCTAAAAATGATTAATCAAGAAATATCAAAAAAAGGTATAATTTAGAGATAAAAAGGTAACTAGGAAGGGAAATAGAGCAACTGAAGGTGGATGCCTGTAGAAAGTATCACTAGAGGTAGGGAGAGGGAGCTGAGGGCTACTGTTTTTCTTATAAGACTTAAAGTATTGCCCAGCTGGTATGGCTCAGTGGTTGAGCATCGACCCATGTACCAA